CTTAATCATTTTAAATGGGACAAATGCATGTCCAGTTAGAACATCATAGGCAAAATGTACCTAGTCCAAATGCCATGGTAGCATCTATAATATATAAGAGGATTATATACATATAAATATTGCACAATTTAATGTTATCCATTTTGTGTTTATTATATATTATATAGTTTTATATTTTAGTATTTATTTGGGAAAACTGTGACAAACATAGATATCTTTAAAATGTCAATTTGATTGTTTAGCTTACTTTACAAAATTTTTCCCAGATTGTATGATGAGACATTTTGGTTTGTAACATTCTGATATGGAAACAGACAAATGGTCTTACGTTCTAACATGCTCAATTAGCATTCAAATGTATTTCACAAAAAAACACTGCTACATCAAACCTGGTAAAATCCAACTGGTTAATAGAGACATAAGATTAAGAACCAAAAATGTACATAAACTTTGAACCTAGCCTACCACTGTACCAGGTCCAGGGCTAAAAAAAAAAAGGAGTAGAGTTATAATATTAGTGCAGACTAACCATATGGTTCCAAGAATTTCCAAATTGAGAAATTATGATGAGCTACAGTTAAATTAAGTCGTCAGCAGCTTGGGTGAGCTTTTAACTTCTACTTTAGACTTTACTCAATCATTAATTAATGATCGTAAATAGCATTTATTCATACCTCTGCCTACCAGAAAAGTTAAAACCATGATCACTGAACTTCAAGTTAAAATTAATGTATTTCCATTGTTATGCGCTAAATTATCTAATCACTTTATAGGGACAAAATTACACTAACAGTTTAAAAATCTTTTTTATCACATGGCGAATTCTTTCATTGTCGTCATCTTTGACTTGATGTCAACCTTCAGTTACATCAGAAATTTAACAAATTTAGTTGAACTTCAAACATCAGAAATGATAAATGATATCTAACTGTTAGTAACGTTAGTCTTACAAGTTACATATTACTTATTAGTATTACTACAAAATTTCAAAGTAAAACGTACAACTACATGTATTGAATGCAGTGTATCAGAATTCCAATGTTTCTATAAATTATAAATTCTTATTTTTAAATAAAACACTAGATTTTAATATCTTACCCGTTCAACATACGTAATCCCGCACTAAGCATTGAGGTCTTTTTTAAGTTGGTAAGTAACTATATTTTCAAATGTTAGTAAAAAAAAAGTATAACCGCAAGTTCGTTACTTTTATCTTCAGTAAACACGTACAATAGTAACAATAACTAATATTAACAGGTTGTTGTAATCTTGCTAGGCCTATTTCGTTATTACGCAACCAATAGATGGCGGTTTACAGAATGAAAAATAGTAGTGTTCGTGGCTAGCCATTTTATAAATTTTCCATTTTTTGCTTGATAGATTAGTTTGTTAACAATTTGTTTAGGGAGAAGACTCTAACAAAACGTGTTAATTAATTTAATTTTTTCATGTTCATTTTGCAAAAAGATAAAAAGAATAATTTCAGACAAACACCTAATATTTAATATAATTACATAAATATTTTTGTACACCAGTGTCTTAAATCCAAAATTTCAGAAGTTGAATTAAAAATACAAAAAAATGGGTTTGTTATATTCTAAATCAAACTGTTTGAAAATTTCCTACACTTGTAAGTTCCACTTGTTAAATTTGTTTTAATATTTTGAATTGTTAACATAATCTAAGCAACGTAATATTAATCTGCAACATAAAATTTTGTTTCTATATTTCGTCATTTATCAAATTAGTAACTTTGTTCATCCACTATTTTAAAATATGTAATTTTTTAAACTTCTAATTGTAAACAAAATTAAACTACATGCATTAATGAGTATGCTCAATAAGAGATAACACAACAAGCCAATAGCTAACGTTTTTGTGTACTAAAAAATTCTAAGTAAGGTATACTATATTATTTAGTCACTGTTACTTTTATTAAGAAAAGAGTATTGGTTAAACTGTTTAATATATCTAAAGTTAATACTTATTACTTTTATTTATTGTTATTATAATTTTATCATACAAATTGTTTTGCATTGTTAGCTTACTGTTACGACAGCGGAAGTCACGTGACTTTGGTAACACGTAATGAGTATCGCGAACGTTCCTGAAGTCTCAAGTGTTTGCTAGACACGCGCTCTTATAGTATATAAGACGGCAAATAAAGTGACGGGATAGATAATCGCAGACAGACAGAGACGAACAATTGAGTAAAGCGCGGTAGTGACTGTAAGTAAAATGCGTGAATCGTTGTAAATTATAGCGTGTGTTTAAGTTAAAGTGACTGTGGAAATTAAGTGCATTGCAAAGTTGTATTGAAAAAGAATAAACTAGTTTTATTTAAGAAAGGACTTGTATCGCTGAAGTTTCTGGGAAAAAATTTCTACGGAAAATTAACAAACGACCAGAGGTCTAAATATCGTTAACAGCGAAGGTACTCAACTGATAAAAGAATGCATTATATTATTTATACCTATGGATCTAAGAAAAGTATATTTAATTAGCTATACTGATTACCAGGTTGTTTTTTAGTTTCGCTCTAAATGCATAGTTTGCTCTGACCTTAAGTTAATATGATTGTAAACTATATTTTCAATGCTTTAATTTAGATGTTAGCTCCAGAGCGAACAACATTAAGATAGAAAAGTTTATAAAACTAGGCCTGGAATACCAAAAATGTTCTAAATTTCACGTCAAGAATTTAGTAAGTTCGGGGATTATTGAAATGAGAGTAGATTATAAGTACGAGAGTCAGTGAAGCATTCAGACAGTTTTGTTTTCATTTGGTAGTACCTGCATTTAGTAAAGTATTTGTATCAGTGTTACTTATCGTGCATATTCAGTTACTTGATTCATTATCTGAGAGCTTGTACAAGTAAATATTGTTGCGTCATCGAGTCACATGACTACTGTGACGCAAAGTTTCTAGAATTATCA